AAACAAACTAAAATATATCTAAATATAGCGATGACTCATAAGCCTTCATTGGTTTTATAGTAGATTTATACCTTAACTTCTTAGAAACGTGTCCAATAGAGCAATGTAATCAATTCGAGTATAAATAGAAAACGACAATAGTATGAGGCGAAAAGAAAAATAAAACCATAACCAGTTAATGCTGACACTGAGGCAATAAAAGCATAACATGAACAAGCCGAAACAAATAAATTTTCTCATCGGAACTAACGGCATTTTCATATAAAATGGCCACAACAAAGCGAGTCATCTAAATCCCCTACTCTACGGACTGGAGATGAAGGGGAATGCGAGAAAAACCAACTATCATTCTCGACGGTTCTATTGGCAATTTAGCCCCTTTATAATGCTGCATCATCTACACTGATATCCGTAAATCCTTGGATAATATATGCCCATATTTTTAGGCCGATATTGCCTCATGGGATATTTATTATTATGTACTGACCAAATATATTTCGTCACGTCCAAATCTAGTAGGGCATCCTCTAAATATACACGTGAGTAAATCCTTATATCCTTATTAATATATGAAACTCTATGTCCATTGCCTAAGGCAATGCTAACGAATTTTATAATTTATTATTATTAGTTTATGTTTTTAGAAAATTGCCCTAATACTACGAATATTTAAAGCTTAACATTTGCTCAAAGTTATAAATTACTATATTTAAAAAAAACCGTTTAAGACAGAAAAAGCACAGAACAGTTACAATCAAGGATTATTGATTATCTATCCATTACTACAGAATCTAATTGTTATTCTTTCAAAATTATGGCTTTCTACGGTTATTGATAACGAAGCATTTAGTTCAAACACTGTTGTTCTCTTGTTGCCAATTTAGAGTAGGAAAGAAGACCGTTTTTGTGTGTGTTTGTGTGTGTAGTACGTTTGATACTTACATTAAGATCATGTTCAGGTGTTGGCTTCGCGTCGAACGCGTAACTGGACTTTGTAAAGTGTTCTCAAGGCAAACGTAACGTAATAGTAATATATTAATAATAATTTTCGGACATTTGACACACAACGCCCTCTAGTTTCAACTAAGCAGAAATTGTACTATTAAAGCTAGATTGACTGATGGAATACTTATATACTATATTTATTTTTTATTTATATTAAAAGCTGTTGACGTGATTGTTCATATTATACATAGAAAACACCCAAACTCTAAAACGTAGATCATACAAACATTTGGTGCGACCCGGGAATCGAACCTGAGCACACAGCACGGCAGTCGCATACGCTACCTCTGCACCACCGAGGCGGTCAACGAGACAGCAAAACGAACGCTCAACGCTTGTCATTAGAACACAATCTTAGAACAATTGCTAAATAGCTGAAATGATTAATAAATATTATATTTTTTAAATATTCGTACTTACTAAAAAAATAGGCGCCTAATAGATAGGGTATAATAAAAGAATAAAATATTTGTAACACATTTTATTGAAAATAATAAACTTCTCTTCGCAGCCGATTAATTTACAATAAATATATCATACTTAGCGTTACAGAATTAAATAGTAATCGATTTTACCATAAAAGTTGTGTCACACAACAATAAAAGCATTGGTTTATTTTATCGTGTAATATCTAATTATATCTACATTTAGACAAATATATATCTTACAGCTGAATACGTTAAAGTGAGACAAAGCATACTCGTATTACTGAAATGTATTAAAGTACTATGAATACACATACATTTGTATTTGTTTCTCTAATCTTATGCTTATAATCTTATGCAGTTTTGTTGCAGAATTAAAATTTATCTTGAGGCACACACAAGATACAGAAATATAATAATTTGATATTCGAGTTTGTATCTTGTAAAACCACACATTGTTAAGTAACGGCTGTCCTTGTTCAGAGGTCTTCATCTTCGTTCAAAACTTATATTTGCCATTGCTGTTTATTATATGCTATCAAATGATTAACCATCGTGCTTCATCACTTACTGTACATCCTAATAAAGTTCTTGTTGAACCTTAACTGACCCGAAAACTTTGAACTCGAATGAAACCAATTGTATACTACCAAATATTATTGAAATTAATAAAATAAAAAACATAAATGTGTTCATAGTCCCTTACCAAATAAATATGTATCTAAGAATCTGAATATTTCATAAGTTTATTTAGGTATACTTTATCTTACGAGATATTGGCACTTTATATAATAATTAATCCATTTGGTTTTAAACTTATATTTTAAATACATATTTTATTTACAACCATTTTTATTACAAATGAAGAAATAAAATATGCAGGAAATATCAAGAATTTTAATTATAACCTACAATTATTTTATTCGTGCAAGCAAAGTGATAGTTCCGTCAGTTAGGTAAATTATTATAATTTATTAATTTTCTACATCACATCACCACAGATAATTAATAAGTTACAGTTGTGATGTAATTATCGTCACAGATGTAACTTATCACTGAGTGTTTACTTATTATATTCTGTAAAAATTAAAATGGTTTTCACATATCCCCGGACTTGTTCATAATTCGAAATGTTTAAAATCTAGTCTCACTAGAATGGATGTGTTGCTCAAATACCGTACATATACCTAACGAATGGGTCGCATTACACATAACGCAATGTAAACTGGTCTATTCAAGTAACTCATAAAATATGTGGTTATTTTCCAAATATCCTCCTATTACAGAGAATTGACCAATAGGACACATAATCTTGTGTTAAGAAAGATTTTTTTTTTAAACTGGACGAAAATCAATGTACAGATTTGAATAGCTAATACGTAAACAGTGAAACTGATGTTTTGGGCCCATAACAGACATATCACTTTGCAGCGTTCGATAAAAAATATAGGTTTTAAAAAAAGGTTTTTATTCCAATTCAATTGAAGTATGTTTTTGAAGACTTCACATTATTATGCTAATAATTATCATTTTGAGGAAAATGTGGACGGGACACATTATGACAAATATTATACACTTTAAAATATTTTCATATATACTACAGCGGGGAATGTTTTTAATTTACAAAAACATTAACGTCTTATTCGATTAACAATGTTTTAGCTTTATATTCTTGGACCTGAAAACCACCTGTCGTTTCTACTTGAGTAGGCCTCAAGTATCATTGATCTATAACATTTCTTTAAACAGCTATAGGAAAGGATGAACCAAGATCGTTCTGCGTATTGAAAGAGTTCTAGATATTATAGTTTTTGAAACTTGACGCCATGACATAATCATTATTTTATTCTTAAAAACATTAAAAGGAAAACCTGCTGTTATTTTTTGATACTTTAGATAATATTTTACAAAAATCTGAATATCAATAGACAGGTACATTGAACTTTACAATCTTTTGTGCATTTATTAACTACATCTTAATTATAGTGCGTATGTAGCCTGCTGTATATGATTTATGTACATCTAATAATATATTATAAAATAACGTTATATACGAATAATAATACCAAAATATTTAACACTGAATACCTTAATTGGTTCCATGGATAAGCCTTAACTATTAATTGAAACGAGCGCCCTAATAAGCTACTTATGTTAGTATCACTTTGGCAATCGCCTATCGTACAGTCGCTCTCATAAATCTTTAGACAGAATTTAATTTAAATCTATTATTTTATAAAGCATATTTGAGAAGGAATTTAGAGAAGGAATTGATAAAAATCGGTGACAATTGTACTCAAGATTCATGACCGCTGCTGTATTTATTACAAAGAATTGTATATATTTTCACGAATATATATATTAAATATATTCTGCTTATATAACTGTCTAATGTTAAGACAGCCAAATTTGAAAAAAATAACTGAGATAGAATTAGGCTTTTAAAATAAGATAGTTCGTAAGGATGTATTAGAAAATTGATTTTGTTTAAATAATTAGTTCTTTGTTGTTAAAATGTTAATATTATTCTAACTCATAAAACTAAAGTAGCGTTGTATATCTACCGTTTGATGTATAACCAGAAACAGTTCACTTTTGTCTATAGCAAAGAAATGCATTTATATTTTACTTTTTATTTACCATTTACATAAGTTACTGGCACATTCATACCAGTTGCAATATTTAATTGTAACAATTTTATATAAGGCACTGCCTCATAAATTAAATAATGTATTTTACATTAGTTACTTGACGTTTTAAATTCGTAGTAACATTTGTAGCAAGTCATTACTTCATAACCATGAAAGTAATAATTGTATCATGTAGATAAGTACTACTATCTACATGATACAATACAATATACAATAAATACAATGCCGTGTAATGTACATAGGTACATTAGTGCTAAAAAGGGTACATTTAAAAAAACGGAATAGAAATGACCAGACTCTCATTTTTAGTATTTTCTTTATACCTTTCTGACCAATGGTAAGACCAATGAATTCAGACGTAAATGTTCAATTTACACCATTACAAAAAAACACGATGTTTACAAGATAATTGAATTTACCGGCCCGGTTATTGTATGGAAATTAGATAAACCAAATTAACTATTAATTCATTTCAAATAAAATATAATAAAAAATGTTTTAAGAAAAGTTTTAAAAAATTACATCACGCATACAAATATATCACTGACCGACGATATACCTTAGATTGACATTTGTTTGTTCTGTAGTTCGAGTAATAATTTAATTGCCCTTTATATTTATGTAATAGGTACTTAAATTTCCCATAGTTAAATGCTAATATCGTTAATTACAATGCGCAAGCTCCAATACATTTAGTTATCCTTCGGTATAGTGTACCAGTATTACAATTCAATTTTTTTTCTTTTCAATATATTCCTACAAGTCCAAAGCGTATAAATGCATTATCATAAATACTATCACTATTAACAGCTTAATCTATTTTCCACAATGCGGTAGAGTCTCTATTCTTATCTAAAGTGTCTTATAACATTTTATTGCACCATATAAAGTTCTTTATTGCGCTTCTTCTACAGAAGCGCTATAGAGGCGTCTCGTCACCGGATTCAGTATTCGGCAACCTAACTACTTTAGTTCCTGCCAACACCCCTACGCCTTCCAAACATGATCTTCTATTCGTAAGTATATCCCGTAAGAACGCTCTCCTAGAACCAGCTAAATTAGTTCCTGTAATAGACCTCGTTAATTTTCTTAATGCAGGCATTTTTAGAGCCTCTTCATATGACGGGGGCTCGTCAGTAGGTGTAGTTTGTGCTCGACCCCCGAAAGGATCTCTTGAGCAAGTTGGAGACAATTCTCTGGAGAAATATAATGTGCTTTCACTACTTCCACTTTCTTGTGGTTCTGGCATTTGCTGGTAGTTCGTCGGGGAATTTGTTCCTCTAAATTCTTCTAATATTTGCCTAGCGCTTCGGCCCGTAGTTAGCACTCCTGCCCATGACCGTCTATTCAACTGTCTTACTTCATTGGACCTAGCAGTAGCAGAAATATTATGAGTAGAATGTGTAGACGCAATAGTAACTCTTGGCCTTCGGGGAGGGTCATCGAAAGATGCCGCTTTGACGTTCCGTAATGGTGACCTTGTTTGGGGTTCTATGTTAATTACGACTCCATCTTCTGGTACTGTTTGAGTGCTGGTTTCGACGGGTTCTTCTCTAAGGGCGGCGTCAATACGCATTGCTTCTGAATAAGAAGGAACTAAGGCACAATTTCCCCGTATGGCTGCGAAGAGTTCCAGGCTGTCGACTGTGGAAGCATGCGAGAGGGGTAATGTGCGAGGCGGACGGGGAGCTGAACATAGAACAGCACTTTGCTCATCAGCGAGTGCCCACGCATAGTTAGTTGCAGTCACCGGTGGCATTGTATCTGACAAATGGGTGTCAAGATCTAACTGTCGACTTGGATCAAGTTCGTAATTTGTACCGAATATTTTTGTGATCTGTAACAAATTAATCTTGTAATTAAAATTAGAATTTTGTAAGGTACCAAGTACTTGCGAATCATATCATGATGACTTGATCCAATAGATTGGCTGAAACGAGCGGATGTTTTATTATATTCTGTCGTTCAAACTGAATGATATGAAACATAGGTATGTGGTTTATTTATTATAACGTTAAAAAACTAAACGATATTTGGAGGTAAAATATTCTTAATATTAATTGAACAATAATTTCTTTAAGAATTTAATTATTCGTTTAAGTTTGTGTAAACAAAATGTTATATTTTTAGGAAGCATAAATAATTTATTATCACATAATTATAATTAATTTCTAGATTCCCAAAAGAATCTGATGTAAAAGAGAAACTATTCTGTTTATGACTTACTTCTTTATAACTTATTTCTAGATTAATATAAATCTAATTTTCTTTTTTCTAATTAAATATTCTAAAAAGTTGTTGTCTAATAAAACGTAAAGGAACTATTTGTTAAGTAGTAGCTTATTATTTCAACTTTTTGTTTTTGTGAATTTACGTGTTATGTTTATATTTATTTATTCATTAGAATTTTTAAAATTTTTAATTGTTTCATAAGTGTACGCTGTAACCTGGATTAATAAATTATGTTACCTGTTAATGGACGGCGTGATTTTAAAAAAATGGTACAATTTATAGGTATCATAACTGTTATAATATCTTAAAAATTGGTATGTATCTATGGTTTTCATTGCTACTTGTAATCCATTTTATTTTAATCTATATGAAAAAAAATATCGACACTACCGAAATTTTTTGTCAATCCCTAGCATTATTTACAGGGATTCACATACATCGAAAGTAATTGCCACATAATAAATTGGAGTAAAATGTACTGTAATTCTTGCATATTAAGGTTCATAAAAGTTTGTGCCCTATACATTTCACCGTTGTTTTGCAAGTGTGTGCGAGTCTTTTATCTATTTGTTTGTGTTTTGTGTATGTATTAAGATGTGGCGACATCGGTTTTGGAAGTAATAGGGCGGTAATTCGTATCTAGTGTCTTATTAGTACGATTTCTGTGGAGATAATAAATAGTCAATGGCATGGAATATGAGTTGCATGGGATATATAGCAAACCTTTCACCATTAGATACTTAGCATACGTGGATGGATTTTTCTGTTCTCTGCATGGATGTATACAGTACTGCTATTGTATCAGCAGGGATTCCTAAAGGTGTAAATGCGATAAATGTTTATTGAACTAATTTGTGTTTTTGGACAGTTGAGGGTTAAGATGGTCCGGATGTCTTAATAACAGCTGTTCCCGGATCCCTCCTATTACAGTCGCAGAGTGGCACACCGTGTGGTTTTAGTCGGTCCGAGTCCGACACACCAATCCGCCGCAAAACCCGGTGAGGTGACGGTCCGAGGGGATTTCCACACGTAAAAAAAAAGAAAAAAAAGGATTCGAAGGATACGTGAGTTCATGTTGTGGTCAAAGTTCTTACAAAGAGTACACTCTTCAGAAAGTCTGGGTTGAATGCTACATGAAAAATCTTTTTAAATCTGGATGCATTACATTTAATTTTATGAGTTTGATACTTTTAAATTAATTACTATATCCTAATACAGTGTACCTATTCTTACAGTATACTATTTTCAGTATACTATTCTTAATTATATTTATAATGTACGACTTACCGTATAATGTACATATGCAGTGTTACACTCTATGAGTATCCGCAGAGGCCAGGACAGAAGGAGACAGGAGAGAGTCCAGAACAAGAATTGAGAGGAGTACCACGGACAACGATCCGCATCCCTGTAATGAAGGTGGCTTAAATCCTCGCGAATTTTCAATGACACTGTATGTTGTAATATTTTTAGAATATATACATTTGCATGATATTCACCTATAGGCTACCATGTATTCCTTGAATGAGCTAACCCCAATAAGGTCCAAGCCTTCACGCATTTCCATGAAGTCATCAAACCTTTCATGTTCAGCGAAAAACCTTGACCTTTGATCTTCGAATTCTGAAAAAAGAATATGCTTCAACTTTTTTTCACTTTTGCAATAGAATCTGCTATTTCAGTTATGATTTTATTAATAAATTAAATAATAATAATAATAATATACATGGCAATACATTGGTTGAAAAAATTGGTTTTCTCATCAGAGTGGAATCATAAATCATAATTTAAGTTTAATTTTATGAATTAGTAAATTTCACTTTATATGATGTGTATGAAAGAATTATTGTAAATTATTATTTATTTTACACCATAAAAGAAAAAAATGTTATATAGAATAAGTTAACACAGATGAACGGTCTATAAATTTTACTATGAATATTGAGCTTTCCATCGGTGTCGATCGAAATGAAGTTCAGACACGTCAGTAAACGTTGACGGCTGTTCCCACAAGGTGTGAGAAGTTTATAGGAGTTACAGTTAATCCTTACTTGTTCGGGCATACTACAGTACCTATTTGATTAGACTTTGAAGTTCCTACTATGCGGAAATTGTTGCACAAATCAAAATATGTTTTGTTTAAGTAAATGTGTGTCAAACTTAAATTCAAATCAAAAACTCAACATATCTTTATTTTGTTAAAAAAAAAGTTTGTAATCGTCTTTTTTGTAGACTCTTAAAGTAGTCTAAAGTACACACAATAGCGACAATCTCTGTTTTGTCAATAATTTGGCAAAATTAATAAATTTAATATCGAAAATCTATTATATGCCTGTGTCGATCTACAACCGCCCGTTTCCAAGGGGTTGAGCCTATAAGAAGAAAGGGCAAACAAACTCACTCACTCGGCCACTCTTTTTTAATCAACACGTAGATACAATGCCATCATTAAATATACCACAACATTGATTTAATGTGTGCCAGTATGTTCTTTATTAAGGACTAAAAGCTAAAAGGCAATTAAGAGAAAACAAGGTAAAGAGAAAATTTGGATTAGAAATGAAAGTGAAGTAAAACATAAAAAAAAGAAAAAAATAATGAAAAGCTCGTTAGCCCACACCACATTTCCACGTGTGTATGTAATAATATAGCATATCGCATGAATCTTCAGTTAGAATTTTGTCTTAAGTATTTTCTTCTAATAATTTATATTTAAACATGCAGTGATGATTGCAATTCAAATGTATTTATTTTATATTTATTTGTGACATTATCTTTTTTTTTTAATTAATATTATTATATAGAATATATTTGTCACTTTATGAATAATTTGTTACTATACTTATTTGCGTTGCAATTTTAATCCAAATTTAATTGGAATTGACATCTTGTCCTAAGTTATTAAACTAAGTGGTTATTTATTAATCTAGTAAGTAACAAATGCACTTCAACTTGGTTATTTTGACAGGAATCATTTAATGTTTTTAAACAAATGTAGTTTACACTCATAATATATTTCTATATACATATATACCCACTGTTTCTGGTTTTAGTAAGAACCTGGTTTGGTATATTTATTATACTGAGAGCTGTACTACTTACCACTTGCCGCTTCGATATTAGCAAACGCAAAACCTTTACTAAATCGAACTTTTGTGATAGGAGTCTTTGAGTCCAATACGAGATTTCTTGAAGCATCACGCTGCCCACAGCAAGCATGGGCAAACGACGTGCTAGCACTGTGTGTATTCACTCTTTCGTAATATACCTGGTGACAAAAGAAATATATTGTTCTTCATGACACACTGCGTGTTAAAATGCCCGGTGCAATTCCGCTGAAATATCCTTGAATAAAAAACAATAAGTATGCGTATCAAGATGTACTCTGTGTTCATAAATTCTGTGAGAGTACAATTTTCCGTGACTTTTAAAAGTTACTGTAGAAACTCCAACACACTAAAAACATGCTATAAAACTCATAATTTACCCTCGAAGCAGCTTGTTCGCTGAATCTTTAAGTATAGTGCATTATACATAAACGTACAGAATGCGCAACAGTACTACATAAACAAATATATGATGTAGAGCAATCGTGGTAAACAGAACCGCTTCGAATATACGTCATTGTGAACAAATTGCACGTTTTACATAGGTAGAATTGAAACGTGCATGTGACATCAATATGCAGGTTGATCGTACCGCCAAAGGTTATACAAGACCGAGCAATTACTGTATGTCTAACCTAGTTAAGTGAGCTACAGCGCTAAAAGCGCTAGGTGCGTTTCATATGTTGGAAGGCAACTAAGCCAAAGTAGCTTTATAGTATTAAAGTGATATATTTATTATGTTCCAAGTGTGGGAAAACAGTCAGTCGTTGTATAGTGTAGCAAAGTGAGGTTCAGGCATGTTTGTTGACCGTAAATTTTACGGTATAAAAGCCTATTACCTTAATCAATCAAATCAACGTATATCTTATACATTTTGACTCTCGTGTATATTTCTTGGATGCGAGACTAGTGTCAGACCTGACGTAGTCATTATTAATGGGTAAAAAGACCTGTCGTCATTGCCACAATAAGAATGATGAACTAGATCACATATGGTCTTAGTGTCTCTAGATATAAGTGTACTATCAACCAGGCTCTGTTATTATTTGCCTTAATAGTTTTATAAAAAGCAAAAAATCTCTCCTTAAACAGGATAAGTATTTCAAATGCGGTCCAAAGATTTTCAAACCATTGAAAATCCCTTCAATATATGGTAGGAAATCAAGTGAGTAGGTATAAAAAGTACCTGAGTGGTTGTATAAGCGTCTCCGTTACGGTATCGCGTGACTTGCCGCTTGCGTCTCACGTAATGGTAGCATATCGCCTTCCACCTGCAATAACATGCGGATTTTATATTTTGAATACGTTAGTAAGAAGACAACACACATTCAATCAATAAGGGAAGACGTGCGAGTTTGTTGTTTCAGTATTGTTTTTACTAAGGAAGTAAAACATTGTTCCTTAAATTTATTCAATCATGTAAATTGACGTTATTAAATATATGTATGTGACTAGAAAAGTTCATAAATCGTAGAGATATACATGAATTGATGATTGTTGATGTTATGTATTGTTGTCGCAGTACATCAGCAGCACTTAAAAAATTCTTAATAATAGGGGTTAAAGTATGAAATGCCGTTGTATAATAATACGAGCAGATACTTTGAATTGACATAAAACTTTCATGGTGTGAGATTTTGTGAAACTTTTTTCACATGATTCCTGTAAGCTTTTCTTTTAAAAAATCGGCAACATTCGATTTTCGACTTTCAATTGTTTTTTTTATTCAGCGTAGACTTAAAAGATGGATACTTCGAAAATCCGAGTCATTTTTGAATACGAGTTCCGTCGCGGCACTAACGCGGCAAAAACGGCTCGCGATATCAACGCTGCGTTTGGCTCTCCAAACTCCTGAGACTGCTAATGAACGCACCGTGCGTTTTTGGTTTAAACGCTTTCGTAATGCAAACTTCGACGAGCGAACCACGTGGAAAGCTGCCGGAAAGCCACGTGAATAACGTTAAATTAAAGGAGACGGTGGTTGCGGATCCGTGTCAAACTACCCAGGAATTAGCGGCATGGTTTAACGTTACCATACCTACAATAATGGCTCATTTGCATCAAATTAATAAGATAAAAAAAGATTTGACTGTATTGCCTTGTTAAATCGGTACGGAAATGCAGGAGTATTCAATCGAATTGTGGCATGTGACAAAAAGTGGATTATTTATGATAACGGTAAACTAAAAATGCAATGGCTGGCCTCAGGTTTCCGCAAAAGTTTCCTAAAGCAATGCTTACCAATCAAAAGGTAATGGTAACTGTTTGGTGGTGTTATTCACTACAGCTTTCTCAGGTTTGGTCATGTATTAACAGCAGATGTTTACTGTGCCGAACTTCGAACAATGATGGCAAAACTAGTAGTGAAACAGCCCCGAATCGTGAATCGATCTTCACCATTATTGCACCATGATAACGCTAGACCTTACACTGCATGAGCAACCATTGCAACTCTACAAGAACTGCAGTTAGCTGTACCCGCTCGACCTTACTCCAACGGACTACCATTTTTTTCGTGATTTGGACAATTTTCTACGTGATAAAAAAAATCTTCCCAGGAGGCAGCACAAAATACTTTCACACAGTTTGTCAAATTTAGATCCCCAGAATTCTATCGTAAAGGCATAAATGAACTTACGTTTAGATTTTTACGAGTTTTAATTTTTCAGTAGTACCAGTCGGCAATTTCATACTTTAACCCCTATTTTTTATTTTTTGAGATAAATGGTTACTAAAGTGTTAAGATTATAATAATTTGTATACTTAATCGCACCATAAATATGAGTAGCATGTTACTAGATATTTTGTTAACTCCTCCACTTAAGGTATATGCGTCAAATACTGGATTCAATTCAATGATGCATGAAGCTATTAAATAAATTTGATTGGTAGTTAAATAGAACCGAATAATGATGTGACACTCTGCGCCTGAAATAGATATGAAGCCTGCCGCCTTCACATAAAAAAATCCTTAACCTTCACATACCTTCACACACCTTAACCTTCACATAAAAAATGAATCGCAATTAAATATGATGTAGACAAACTAGTTCATTTCTCATATTTATTATCCCATAAGCATTTGCATTGATTGTTGCATTGCTTCCTATTGCAAAATATTTGATACTTTTAGCAGATTCGAGTTTATGCTTTATCTATATGCCACGTGTTTGAAATTACTAATTCAAACTGGGAACTTTATTTAGTTTTCTATTGAGTAAACAGTTATATACGTGAGATAGTTCCATTCTCTGTTATGTGTGAAGTTAAAATGAAATTGCTTATGAAAAACACATTAAATTTACAAAAAACCTAACGACACAAAATTCAGTTTGGTTGTTTTATTAAAGTTAACAAAAAGTTTGCCATAACTTAAGCGTCGACAGTTTTATTGAGATATCCTTAGACTTCGGCAAGCGCTTCGAGCTGTCTTCCTTGTCAGATAAATACATATATCATAATTATTGAGTACGGGGAATTGCCAGATGGTTCGGGTTGCCAAAAACTCATCAATGATTTTTTTTTCATATTCTTCTGGAACCAAGACCAACCCAGACCCTATAGTGTACTCGCATAGTTTTCTTTAACGAAAGAAACGCCGAAACAAACCACAGATGTGTCTTTGTTTTGTCCTTAAGCAATTTACGGACCAAACAAAAACACCTCTGTTGTTTGTTTCGGCGTTTCTTCCCAGAGTGACTCTTGCCAGCGTCTTTTAGCTATAAAGTCCAACTTGTCAAAATATCTTCAGATCTTTTTTTAATTACCCAACTAACTAAAAAAAGGAATGCACCAAATTGTTGACAAATATTTAAACTATCCTGTATATTTAGCAGATTCCGTAGAGAGAGGAGAGAGAGGCCATCCTCACAGAAAACCAGCGTTAAGCAGTTAACTGGTCCTTTTGTTGCTTTTCACACGAGTCGACGCCTCCTCCTCATTTCTCGAGGGGGAAGGGGGGCTCGAAGGGCAGCAGAGCACTTGGTGCCCATAGGCGGCGGCAGTCACTTACCATAAGGTGACCCGTCTGCTTGTTTACCTTCTATATCATAAGAAGATAGTATTGTTGTACCATAGGATTGACTGGTTCTTGTGTTGTGGCTGGAGGACAGCGCCATCTAGTATTAAGTGGGCACAATGAACCCTACGCATTGAGATTATGGTTCTTAATTCCGAGGCTTACCGTGCCATCTAGTGTCGAATATCGGAACATTATAGAAATCTGTAGATTCCTCGGGATTAGTCTAGTCATTCCGAAATCCCTATAAAAGTGGAGTGTTTCGACAGTACGGGACAGTATTGTTTTACAACACGGCGAATTAACATCGAAGCGAATTTCTAGTGCGACTAACGAGTTATATAGTGATTTCTTGCTTGTAATGGTGTTTGTAAATACAGTGCAATAAAAGTAAATAAACGACTACTTTTATTTATGGTATACCCGGTCGTAACAATACATTACTAAATTATGACAGTGTAAACGCAATACAGGTTTATTGTTCATCAATAAATTCCTGAGAATGTCTAGGAGATAAAACATTACACAAAACTAATTGTTTCTCAGTCTTCAGTTGTGTTTACCTAAAAACAAAGTACTCAAACGTTTATACTCGTACAGCAAGAGTTTGGAATAGCAAAACTCGGCGTGTCTCGGTCTGTCTACCCTTTGTAGAGAATTATCTTCATTTAAGGAATGAAACTAATGTGGAACTCGAGAGTTATTTATATACATTGTTAAGGGAATATAATATACGGGTTCTTACGAAAAGGTATGGTCACATATGTGGTCATATTTGAGGCCATATAGTTTTTTACATTACCTTTTTTTTAAAATAAATTTAGTTTAAGTTCACTTGTAAATGTAATATTTTCGAAGTGAATGAAACCATGGCCATTTAATAAGAAGGCAGTGTTGGTCCAGAAATATCTAAATAAAAAAATAGAAAGGAACCCAATATTGCACGAAAATTGAAATATGTGAAAAATGGCAGGTAGTAGGGGAAGCATTCGAAAAATAAAGTTTTTTTTACTGTTTACTTAATTTAATTTAAAATTGAATTACAATATCAGTTTTGTTTAAATTTTTGCTAATAGAGAAAATAACAGTGATCCTTAGAGTATATAAATTTGTAGTTAAAATTATGATAACTACAGCTGTCAGTTTGACATTCGCTTCATGGCGTTCGATTTGTTATTTAATTCGGTTTTAATTAGTTATATGAACTTTACAATAGCATTCTAAATATACAATGATTATTAGTTTTAAGTAGCATAAATCTGCCAACATCCGTATCTTGACAATAAAAAAATATGTAATATTAATATGCGCTTGGGATGTAATGTAGAGGTAATTTATGGAATTACTGATCCGATTTCAATAAAAATATTTTATTAGTAGAAAATGGCATTGCCAACAAGAACTATACACTAAACACGTCCTTTAAGAAAGGTTTCTACTACAAAAAAAAGCGGAAACCAAAATGACAAGAAGTCCGATAACAATATCATTCAAACTGTGTTATATTGATTCGTGCAAAGTTATAAAATGTACCATTAACCTTTACGACGGATTGCAGGGTGTGACCGGTGTTAGTGCTACGATTGCTACGCCGTAGCAACTGTTTACGTAGTACGTAACGTTCCCTTTTAATGAATGTTATACGGCCTTCGTGGAAGTGGGTACATTTGTTGCGTGTAAATCTAACCTAGAAGTAATATTTAATAAACAGTGTTTACGTAGTTCTTTTTAAATATCATCGTGTCAAAATAAAATTTTAATAAAAGTTTAATCAGCTTTAGGCAGAGTTTTAATTTAATTAAGTTTGTTTCGCCTGCAATCACTAGTATAATAACAAAATTAATAACCAATCAATATTTCAGTAACATGGTCAATAAGAAAATGGCTAGGTTAAATTGATTGATTTAATTGATTAAGATACTATTTCTTTGACTCAATTTAACTGAATATATGTTGAGGTATTTGTTTTAAAATTGAATGAAGTTGGAAACACTCAATGTAAGGGCGGAAAATTGAAGTAGGTACTTTTTTTAGAAATTAAATAAAGTCAAATATATATACTAACTCTCAAACATTTTATGTCCCCCGTATTAAAAAAAAAAGCTCCTGACAACCCGTAAGTTTAAAAACATTCATAAACTCTAAAACATCCTAAATCAATTTTGTCGGTTTATCTGCCGTTACCATGAACATGAACAAAGTCAACATAATTTTCTCCTCGCATACATAACGAAGGTATTGTTTGGCGATATCTGGTGTGTAAATTTGTAATTACAGAACTGAATAACTGAGAAACACGTTCCAATTATTACGATATTATGCCGCAATCATAACACGTATGAATAGAAACGATTAAAGAGAAATATGGATACAAACATACATAGGACTTTGTTAATAATAATGAAATGAGAATATATTATCGAATTTCTGAATGTAGAATATGTATATGTAAGGTTGATGTGCAAGAATTTCTTATAGGGATAGGGATAGGTAGGGAAGGATAATTCCAGAAATAAAACTTCATGCCAGTCATAGGTCTTTTGAGAGGAATTCTTGTTGATGTTATTTAAAATTCAAAGAGGGCGTTAAGATATTAAAAACATTCTTATCTGTCTATTGAAAATATCTGAAAAACAAGTTGTATCGACGACAGAAAGCGATTTTGTCGTATTTTGAAATAGCAAACACCAGAGACTTTGCGAGAGAGATTTACGTATAAAACTGTAAAAAGCAAGGAAAAATTAAATGCTGTATGATGAAATTTATAGTCATATGTCAACAGAGACCATTCGAATAGGCTTTTTGTTTTTGTTTATATATCAGTAACTTCTATATGTAAGCTAGTTTCCACGATACGACGTTTCCTACTTTCTGCCATCGATATGACTATTTAAGTAAAGAAAGGGATAGACTAGATTTTATAAGTACCTGGACTCATCTATAAGATGAGTCCAGGTACAAGAAGATACGTAAGATTATAGATTATTATAAGATTATACTTAGGTAATAGAGTTTTTGTAATTGATTTATACTGATTAATCAATGGTAATTTGTAATCAGATAAACGTATGTTCTTAAACTGAGATATCAATAATTTACACATATCTTACCAAACCCTCGGCGTAGATGTCCTCATAGCATGCACCCTCGCACTGACAGCAGCAACGTCAACCCTTCTCGCGAGCTGTATCCTTGCTGTGCTGTGGTAGCACTCCACCAAGTACACTAAATATAGCAGTAGCACGAATGCGATGGGGATGTATGCGTAGCCCACATCGCACGGAGACTCTCGGATGGTCCGTTTTATCGGATGCCTGATAGACATGAAACTGATTTAGTGGTTAGTCTTCAATGAAAATAGTTAACGTATCAGAGCCTAAGCATTAATTATCATAATATTTTTGTCCATGTATGTGCAGACTTCTTTAGGTTAATATTAAATTGAATTGTGGCTAGTAGTGGTTTATCTGGCATGGCACTGCCTTGAGATCAGTCTATCACAATGCGTGGTGGAGGTTCAGAAGTCACTAAGTATTTGGCTTTATTATTAAGTCTCCGAGTTTGCTAGGTTTTATATTTTAAAGATAGATTTAAATGGAATTATTTAATTTATAATTCTAAAAGGTTTTTAATAATTTTGAAAACCGTCGGTACTCTCGATCTAGGAAAGATGACTCTTATCTTATAATTCCGTTGATGATGAAAATTTATAGACTTTTTTTGTTTAAATAAATGAAAAATAAAACCACACATACGTGTTTGAAACGTAGTATAAGATGCCCACAGGCCAGGTGTGTGACGCGTGACGACAGTGACGATTTGCGCAAGATGGCGGGCAGGAACTGGATGCGAGAAGCCCAAAATCGATCTAAGTAGCGAGCAAAGGGAGAGGCCTATGTCCAGCAGTGGACTGTAATTGGCTGATGATGATGATGAAGGGAAAACTTTGAAATGTACTACATCAAATGAACAACAAGTGTAAGTTTCTTTCTGTTCAAATTGAAAAGAGTTTTATTGGCGCACGATTGTGCGAAATTAAGTTACAATGAAAATTAAATCCGTCTCTTGGTAATTGATTGCTTTATGCCCACGCAGCGATTTCGACCCAACTATCAGTCTATTTGGCAACTGTACTAGTGACAGAATAGACAATTAAATTAAAAAAAAAATGTTAATCATCGTAACAAATTAAGTTAATCCTGATAATACACACTGACGCCTCCTTTTAATATTTCAATTTCTATAGATACATAATAAAGTAAACTGTGAGCAAGTATCGACCTTGAGTCGTTTCATTGTCTTTCTGTTTTTTTGTGGAATAGAGGCTGAAAAAAAAATTACTTGCTGAAATCGATGAGGTCTCTGTCGATTTCGGCGGTGTTGCACCAGGCTACGGAACCGAGACAACCAGCAATCATCAAGGTAAGCATGAAGCATTTCCAATTGCCTTCCCGTCGCAGCACCCCGCCTAGACTCTGCTGCCGAGGACGCTGTGGACAACATTGTAGAGTTATTTATCTGTTGACTTATATTTTATACTATATTAAATAAGAATCATTTATTTTTGTATTCTTTGTACATGATATCTGAAGTCTGATGCCATTGTTGTGATGTATGCAGAGACTGCTAATATAGACTCTCAAATAAAATACTAAGGTGTGGTTACACTTTTAACACATAAACTAATTTTTTTATTTGTGTATCTATAATGATATACATATTCATACACGGTAATGATTGCGCACTATGGCTACTACTAAAATTCTAGCAACGACAATTATATCTGAGTGACAACATAAAACTTCCTTCGTTGAACATCGGTTTCCTTTTGAGTATGAAGTGTAGAGGCAAGGAGAACCATGTCTGTATTTGATAGTTTCGCGACCAGTAAGGGTTGAATGTGGTAGCCTAAGATAAATTTATATTGGCTTAAATGATAATTGGACAGTATGGATTAGACTGCAAAAATAGTTAATGAGTTTTGAAGACATAAATAAACGTGTTATAACTTTCAGACAACAAAAGTATTATAACGTTTTAACTCTTCACTCCGTCTACAACAGTTATGTACATATCGTAGTTTTTCCTCATTTTCAGTATACAGCTGGACACTTTTTTAACTTTCCCTCCTTAAAAGATAGCTCTCCTTGCCATACACACTCCATACTCTACACTCCATACTTTTGGAACATAGACGGTAGATATAAAATAAAAATTTGAAGTCATGCTAGAAAAAATATCCGCAACAATACATTCATTTATTACCAATGAATAAATAGAAATAAATTTACAGGACTAAATGAAATAGTTCTATGAAAGTAAACAAAATCCCAAAGTAAACTGTGTAAAAATAGAATTCCTCAAAAGTTCAAAGGTCATCATTAATATTCCATATGAAGGGTACAGCTATATTAAGTTTATATTTTAACATGTTAGACAAAGTGCCCTCGCCTCTGGCATTTCAATTTTCTATCTTTTTCCTTTTGGACAGTTCCTTAGGACATTTTGCTCGCACGCGGTTTAAGATAGGCTATCAGAAAGTGTGTTTACTCAATCCGATGAATATGTGACAACCCGAGCAACCCAATTGAGAAGAATCACCCTTTATTTACTTTGACCTAATAATTTCCTCGGGTCCCTTAGGACCGTGAACAAATATTTTTTTGGGAAAATGAAAGATTTCCTGACGCGAACAGCTTTCAATTCTGGTGCCGTCTATTACAGTAAATATGATTAGATTAATAGTTGTAAGTATATTTTTCTGTATAGGTAAGTACAGTATTTTGTATTATGATAGTATTGTTTTATACTAAAGATTATTATGGATATTAAAATTTATGCTTATACGTAGAAGTAATAGGTAAGAAAATCTGAATACCAGTATACCAGAGAGTTATGTTTAACGTTTACGACATTGTTATACTAGTAAATACATAATTACATTAATGTACAATCATATCCTTGAGGTTATGATTGCACAAAAATGCGATCGTATCATTGATACTATGAACGCATTTTTTTTAGATTTTAAAAGTATTTAAATACTTTTTTACCTGAGATATATTAGCCGCGCGATTAGATTACCGGTATTCACGCAGATAAAATATCATCATCATCATCATCAGCCTATCGCAGTCCACTGCTGGACATAGGCCTCTCCCATTGCACGCCACTTAGATCGATTTTGGGCTTCTCGCATCCAGCTCCTGCCAGCCATCTTGCGCAAATCGTCACTCCACCTGGCCTGTGGGCGTCCTACACTACGTTTGCCGAGACGTTATTTCCCCGAAATTGTTCACAAATGCAATGGAGGACATGTTCAAGACGCTGCACTGGAAAGGGCGTGGCATCAATATCAATGGCGAATACATCTCTCACTTGCGATTTGCAGATGACATCGTCATCATGGCAGAGACGTTGCAGGACCTACAGCAAATGCTGAATGACTTAGCTGACACTTCTGTACGCATCGGCCTACGGATGAACTTGGATAAAACCAAGGTCATGTTCAACGAACATGTACTACCGGAACCGATTGCGGTACACGGTGCCGTTCTCGAAGTTGTTCAAAATCATGTGTACCTCGGGCAGACATTGCAGTTAGGTAGAAACAACTTCGAGGACGAGGTGAACAGAAGAATTCGGTTGGGTTGGGCAGCGTTTGGGAAGCTACGTCGAGTCTTCTCATCGTCGATCCCACAGTGCCTTAAGACGAAAGTCTTTAATGAGTGCGTTCTACCCGTCAGATAAAATATGCAGAATCTAATTTGATACTCTACATGAAAATTTTATGTAGTTCTAATTTACGTTTGAAATTGTCTATCTGATATTAACCTTCAAATCCCTTCGGAACTCATGCAAGCTCGTTCATGGTACTGCATAACATTGAATTTCCATGGCGCTTTCTGGCCGTAGTTATGGCTGAATCAGTCTATGTCTATGGCCAATGACTCAGTTTATTTTTGAGCTGAGCCAGCCTATTACCACGCTCACAGTGACTTAGTTGAGATAGGCTGTGACCCCACTCAGAGCCAGGTTATTCTGTTGAAAGGTCAGGCAAACTGGAAAGCGTGCATCATCATTTTCATCATCAATAGCTTTGCCTAGTTTACCGTCCGCACCGCTCGGACGCACGTATACATAATTTGTTTTATTTTAATTCCTAATTCAGTTTATCTTTACCTTATCTTGTACATATAGTACTAGATTATTTACAACATGAGACGTTTAAACTTGACCTATTTAACCGCCATTACAAAGGCTCTTCATCATAAACGTAATTATAATACACTTCACTACATCAAACAAGATCCAAGTAGCATAGCTAAACCTTAACAATAAGCTCTCGCACCACTATCGCTGCCAATCTCAACAATCACAGACAATTGTCTGGATAAACAGAATCTCTTGAATTGATCAGATTACTTGAACGGCTACTAAACAGCTTTATTGCTTGTTCATGAGAGTGGTTCGTGACAATAAGCCCAACAATTCTCGCAGAATGTTTAGGGATACTATTTTTTAGGTATTGGGTTGAATATTTGAGCTAAATCTTTTATGCATAGAAGATATAAATGAAACATTGCTATAAATAAAATGTTTGAAATGTGTGATAAAAAAAAATTGTTTCCTTAAAGGAATCTAATTGAAGTTTCCGTATTGCCTTTGAAACGTGACTGTAAGTTCTGTTCGACATCAAATAACTATGCATTTTTTTATTAAAATCAAAAGTGCTTTTAAAGAGTTCCATTCTTTTATTTTGTTGGGTCTTTTTACATAAATTCACGATTTTTGTTTACTTTAAAAAAGGAACATGCGTGTTTTCAGTAATGCGTAATGATATTGAAATTCGATCGAACCCACGTAATAGTGGATCCTGTGGTACCTTCATTTGTAAAATTAAGTCCTAACTTATTTTGTATGTATTTACCACAAGATCACGTGACTATAAATAAATTTTTAATCTTGAATAGCTGTGTGTTAATGAAGTCATTAAAATATTTACTAAAAGAGAATTATATTTTCGGTGGTGCTTGAGTTTTTTTTAAACTTTTTGCTAAAAAATATGTATATTTTTATAATTAAGCTAGAAATTGACTAGATATTTCAAAAAATGTGTTAGAATAAAAGCCAATATATAGAAATATTCTAAACGATGGGTTAAAAACAATTGAGATATACATGTCTCCTCGTATATTGTAAGTCAGTAAGTAAATTAATTAATTAATTATAAATTTATAAATATTTAAGTACTAAATTATTATTATAAAGATATTTTTTTATATTTATAGAGATCAACGTCCCCTAAACGATAAAAGATGACAT